CTTTCTCAACTATGTTTGTCATTATCAAAAAGGGGGAAATTGTTAGACATGAGTTCAAACCCCTTTACTATTTCTTCTGGAAATTTTTTTTTTGTTTTGATGAATGACAAACAGGATGATTAATCTCAAGCTGATCGAAAATTTATTTTCGTATCGAGAAAAGCAAAGAAGGGTATCAAGAAGTTTACGGCGATAAAAATCGATGATCACCCCTACGCAGATTTTTTTTTGAAGTGAAGTGAAGACTCCGAAGACTTTTTTATTTTTTAATTATGTCTAGGAATCTTTGTAAGGATGACTTTTTTTTTGTGCACAAACAAATTATTTTTGAGGGATAAAAATAATTATTTTTTTTTGAGTCAGTTGAAAAATTACTTTTCCTCTGTCTAAAATATTTTACTGAGTCAGTTACAAAATAAGTGTGTCAAAATTTCTTAAAAACATTTTTTTAAGAATTACACAAATTTTTTTGGTAAGAAAAATATACTTTAAATATTTTTCGTGTACATCATTTGACACACAAAATAATTTTTGGACTCACTTTTTCTCCCCTATTCAAAATCATTGAATAAGGGATATTATATATGAGGAGCGTTCTTGTTATTCTCGTTGTCTCAAACAACGAATATAAAGACAATGCCCTTCTCATCGCACTTGGCTTGGGCCCTTCATGTTTGCGCATTATTTTCACTTTAATCGATTAAATTTTCTAAAATAATCGATTAGATCCAATTTCTCAGCGTTGGATTTCTCAGGCCAATAGACTTAATCAATTAAATTACTCCATTTAATCGATTAGTTTAAACAGAGCAAGCTAATCGATTTTTCTCTCTTTTTTAATCGATTAATTCCACCTTTGCATTCAAGCCCTTTTCGCTTCTGTACACTTTAATCGATTAAAGTCCCTAATTTAATCGATTAATATTGTCTGGTGTCTATTCTCAATCTGCTCCAACGGATCTTTTATCCTCAAGCCTATTTAATCCCTCATTCTCCTTCATTTCTACACACATCTCTTGCACTCCAATATATTCTTTGAGCTATATTCATCCTTTGCTTCATCTTCCTCATCAAAATATTATTTTAGAGAGTTATAAATATTTTCTTTGAGTGCTAAAGAAGTTGTCATCCATAGAGCTTTAATTCTTCAACACTACTTTGCTCAATTGTGTGAGCTTTCATTCTTGTGTTGTAAACTCAATCTCATTTGAGTGTTGTTCTTAAGACTTGTGTGACTCAAGTCTTGTTGTTGTAAGAAAGTGAGGATAGTGTGATTCAAGTTCTCAAGTTGTACCGGTTTTTCAAGCACCCGTTGAAGCTTGAAGATTAGTAGGACTTTTGAGAGAGTCTCTCGGAGGACTGGACTAGCCACGAGGTGGTGAACCAGTATAAATCTCGGTGTTCTTCTTTCCCTTACTCTCTTTATTTATTCCTGCAATTTTATTATTTCACACACGCGAAAAACGCACATTCTTGAAAACAACTCTATTCACCCCCCCCCCTCTAGCGTTGCACATTTGTCTAACAGGCCTTACGGTGGATTGCCCTTCTCTAATCCCTGCGTTCAACATTCTCAAAAAAAATTTGATCGTTTTCTCAAACGTCACAAGGAGCGTTAGAGATACCCGCTCTGATACCAATTGTTAGACAAGGCGTGCAACTCTAGAGGGGGGGTGAATAGAGTTGTTGAGAATGTTTACAGATTTTCGTAGGATTAATAATATAAATGTAAGTGCAGTGGAAATAAAAGAGAGAAGGCAAAGAATACACCGATGTATACTGGTTCACCACCTCGTGGCTAGTCCAGTTTCCCGAGAGACTCTCTCGAAACTACCACTACTTTCGTTAAGCTTACGGGTACTTAACAAACCGTATACAACTCGAGAACTTGAATCCCACAAGCCTCAACACAACCGCTCGTAGATATGCCCTCTACAAGACTTCACAACCAAGACTTAAGTCACATAAGTCTTATGCAACAAGAATAACAATCTTCTTCAACCTCTCAACATAAACCCTCAAAAGAGTAGAAATGAGAAAATGTTTAGCTCTAATGGATGACAAGAAACCTCTCTTAAAAACAAATAAATTTCTCTCAAAATAATATAAATTTGAGGAATGATTGATGGAGGATTAACACCTCAAGAATGGGGAGTATTGGAGTGTTTCTTGTTATTAAAAAATGACCAAGGAAGGGTGTTTAAATATGAGGTGAAGAAATATATTCGTTGGTCCAAGAAAAGGAGTTGTGCTGAAAAGATGCAGCATAATAATCAATTAATGTAGAGCTAATAATCGATTAATGCAGTCTGCGCAAAATGATAATCGATTAAGGCCAAAGGTATTAATCGATTAGAATGCTCTGAGTAAACTAATCGATTAACGGGAGGAAAATAATCGATTAGATCAATGTAGCTCAACACGAAGTAAAACTCAATTAATCGATTAATCAAGAGAATTTAATCGATTAATCAAAACAAAACTGGGTAAATCGATTAAGGTGAGAATATTAATCGATTAGATTTGAAATGATGCGCAAACACAAGGGCCCCAAGCCAGTTGCGAGATGAGTAGTAAAAAAATGTCTTAACGCGATTGTTTCAGACAAGAGGAATAAGAGACGCTCCTCAAACAAAACCTCTCATATTCAATGAATTTGAATAAGGGAGTAAAAGTGAATCTAAAAATTTATTTTGTGTGTCAAACGATGTACACGAAAAATATTTGAATAAAATATTTTTGCTTACCAAAAATATTTTATAATATCAAAATAAATATTTTGATAAGTGTTTGACACACTTTTTGAAACTGACTAAATAAAAGTATTTTGAAGAGTTAAAAGATTTTTGAACTGACTCCAAAAATAAATATAATTTTTATTTTAATTCTCATAAAAATAATTTTGGAGAGAAGATATTTTGTCATCCTTACACTTATTCCTACGACTCAAATAAATAAAAAGTCTTCGGAAATCTTCTACTCCTCCGAGTCCTCCGTTAAGCGCTCCGAACCCGTCTCGGACTCCAATAAAATCCTGTGCACCTTTTTGAATACTTCAAGGAATGGCACTTCAAGTCTTCGTGTTTGTCGTTGTAGAATTTTGATCTTGACTTGAATAAATTGTGTTTGTCAATTATCGAAACCTGTGAGTCAACACTTAACAACACAGAAAGGGTTGAACTCATGCATTCCAACAATATGATCTTTTTTTTGTAATATTTTGGTTGTGGGATTTTGTCGTTGGTTATATTTTCTTCTATGGTAATTTTTATATGTATTTTGACATGGTTTGAAAGGTTTAAATTTTCTTTTGTTTGGTCCTTTTATTCTGCCAAAACCAAATTGTTCACACCAATGTCCTAGTTCTTTCTTTGTTTGTTTACTTTCTTGCCTCATTTTATTTTGAAGCCTAATGTCTCTGCTTAATCTTAATCCAGTAAGATTGACACATGTTATTAGATCTCCATATGTTAAGTCATCATATGATATATGTCCAAATCTTTGCTCTATGGTTTCTCTAATTGTTGCTGCAAAAAGGCTTGGTAATCCTGTGATGAATTTTTCTTTCCAATGAGAGGCATTTGGGTCTGATAAAGAAAATACTCTTTTAAGAAAATTTTCTTTATACCATTTGAAATTTTCTAATTTTCTACGTTTTAAGTTTTGTAAGATTTCACTGTTCGTTCTGTATATAAATCTAAGTCTCCAATAAAATGGGTAATAATATTATATACTAAATATGCTAAAGCTATTGACTGTGGTTGACCTCTATTGTCTAAGACCATTTGTCCTTGTGCATCTGTGTTTACTGCAGTTAAAAGTCTTTCTCTCATATTGTCACTTAATAGTTTGTCCCACCATGTTCTCAGTTCTCTAGTGAATCTAAGAACTATATTTTCTGTGAGGTCTTTTTCTGTAATTCTTACTCTTTGTTTGTATATATTTCCTACAATTACCATTTCTTTTGTCATTTGTATAATTTCAAGTTCGGATAAATCATCTAAATTCCATTCATAAATATTTTTAGCATTATATTGTTTTTTTCTTTTCTTTAATATTTTAAGATCATCTAGCTGCTTTCGAGTAACTACTTGTCTTTCTAAAGTGTTTAAAGGTATTTCTAAATGATCATCTGATTCTAAGGGTTGGTCAAATGGGTCAAATAGATTAAATTCTATTTTTGAGTTTGAAGAGGATGGACTATTATATTCGGATAAAATTGTTACTTTTTATTCCCTGTTTATCTTGAGGCGGTGGATTCTGCTGTGGCAGAATACTCTGGGTGGTCCACTCTAAGTTTGGATAATGATTCCTTAATCCTTCCATATATTTGCTCTCCTATTTTTTTTTGTAAATCTTTATCTAAAGAATGCAAATCTTCAGTAATTATATTTGGTACTGTCTTGGGTATAACGAATGGGTTAATAGGGCTCGAAATGTTTGTATGCTTTATTGTCTGGAGTTATATTGTATTCTTTCGTAAAAGTTTGGAACCTATTTGACTTAAAATTATTTTCTGGTTTAAGCCCTACTGGTGATGGTGATATAGAGAATTCTATATTGTCATTATCATCAATTTCCTTTCTAGTTTCATCTATTTTTTCTTCTATTCTATCCATTTATTGTCCTATTGTATGCAGTCTTATATTTGTCCAATTTAATTGTAGATGTAAATCTTTAACTATTTCTTTATGGCCTGTTTGGGAACTTGGATTTGGATTTGAAATCCAGATTTAAGACATATACCTTGTTTGGCAAGCTACAGAATTTGAATTTGGATTTGATCCAAATTCCTCTCATTAATAACCAACCCAATTACAAATTCACACCCAAACCCATGTCATTTGAATTCCTAGCCCAATTAAAATTAAGTCTCCACATTCACTCCTCCCTCGTCATTCGCCTCTTCCGATCCCTCTCTTCCATCGGCTCTCTCCAATTTTAGTCCTTCATCTCTTTCGATCGAGATTGCGTCCACGTCCAGGCTGATTATCCGAGCGGCTAGGTCTGAGTTCTATCTACTTTTTCTCCGCCTCCATCTTCCTTAGCTAAAAACTCCGATCCAGGTATATGTTTTGGATTTTAATTTTTCGTTTGATGTTCTGTAACATTGAAAATTCGTCCACCTGTGAGTATTGAGCATTTAAAAAATTTCCTGTAGTTTTAGGGCAGAGATCTAGGGAGACCTCTGTTAGGGAGGGAAATACCATGTTGAAGCCTGGTCTTAAGCTCTCCTCTCATGTCCTCTTATTTTGACATATGTATTTCCTAGTGTGTTACGAGGTAAAATTTTGGTTTGGAAAGGCAGTGTTGGCATTATTATTTCTTCACAAAAATCTAAAAAAACAATTTAATTTTATTTTAAATTAATTTTTTTGGGTTCAGATACGACTGGATTTGTAATAACCATAGTTGGGTTTTAATGATGTATCATGCTTCAAGCACATATTTCCCTAGAAATCTGCTCCATTTGCCAACTTGCTTGGATGGTGTATCAAGGAAACCAAATCAAAGACATGTAAAGAAAACCATTATGTTGTTTTATATAATTATTTATTTAATTATTTATTGTACCTTGACATTCCCATGATTTTTTCTTAAACTAGAAAATGTCACATGATCAACATGTTTGTGAAACAAGAAAGCGTATTAGAGATGATGATGATGATGATGAAATGGAACTCAATAATATAGTTACTGGCTTTATCATTGTATTAGTGGGAGCATGGTATAAAAAGTATAGGGTGAAGGAAGTATCTTGGAACGAACAAGAACGTGCTAGAAAAAGAGCGTATTGGATGGATTCATTAAAGAATGATAGAATATGTAGAGATCAATTGCGTATGGATAAGAGGTGTTTTGACAAATTGTGTCACATCTTACAATTCAAAGGAGGTCTTGTGACTACTAGACATGTCACAGTGAGATAAGTGGTGGCATTCTTTCTTCATACACTTGCACATGACCTCAAAAATAGAACTATTGGAGCTGTGTTCACTCGCTCCGGTGAAACAGTGAGTCGTCAATTTCATATGGTGCTACACGCTGTAATGAAGATAGGCAAGTACTACATTAAGCAAGTTGACTCAACTATAAGCTATGCTAGAGATAATAGATGGAAATGGTTTGAGGGAGCACTTGGAGCACTTGATGGGACACATATACAAATGATTGTTCCAATTAAAGATCGACCTAGATATCGAGACAGGAAAGGTGATATTAGCACTAATGTCTTAGCCACTTGTGATCCCAGTCTCCACTTCAATTATGTTTTGCCTGGTTGGGAGGGATCTACTTCCGATCCTCGCATCCTCAGGGATGCCGTTTGAAGGCCTAATGGTCTAAGAGTTCCAAGAAGTAAGAGAATTTAACTTTGACTTATTTTTTTCTATTTATTTTTACTATTGTTTACATTTATTTGTGATACATTTTAATACTTATATTGTTATTGTTTCTATCACAGATAGGTATTTTCTCGTGGACTTGGGTTATACTAACGGACTAGGCTTTTTAGCTCCTTATAGAGGCACTCGGTACCATTTGAATTTGTGGAGAGGAAGTACTCCAACAGATTTTACATTTGGTTGACCAGCCAAACTCATCTACTGTAAGTTACATTTTAATGCACTACACCACCCACAACCTACTCATCTGCTGTAACTTACAGTGCACATTAGAATGCAGGTTCCAGTAGTTGGGTTGTATAGTAGTCTCATCATCATCATCATCTCATTCTAGTAGTTGGGTTGTATAGTATGCAGATTCCAATAATAAATGTGAGGTTTTTATATCATTTACTATCACAACCCCTTGTCTTTGTTGTCTAAAAAAGGGTTTCCTAACACTTTTTTTGCATGCAGAGTCATCCACCAGCAAGCTCCTATAGAAATAAGACTATAGATAATTGGGTTGATATTTGTATTCTCTTTGGATCGGATAGAGCATTAGGGGATGGTGCGGAACAATTTGATGAAGTAGCGATGGCGATGGATGAGGAGATGACGAGTGAAGGAATGAGCACGTCAACAGGCTCTGTGTCGAAGAAGGTGAAGAAAGATCGTCTAGCCGAGGCAGTTACGAGTTTTGCAAACTCATTCAACGAATATGTTTAAAGCAAGATCAATATGACTTCAAAGGCGAGCGGGAAAGAAATCCATGAAGTTGTCTCAAAAGTGGATGGCATACTTCGTCATCAAGTGTTGAAAGCTGTTAAGAAGTTTATGAATATGCCAAATGAGTTTCAAATGCTCAAGGACTTGCCTGAAGACGAGAAACTAGATTGGATTTTGTTGTGCTTGAAAGAGTGATCGAGTTATGAACAACTATGGAATATTAAATATTTACTACAAATAAATACTTTTTCTAATTGTCATACATTAGTATGTATTTTGTTTATGAAACAATTGGTCATTATGTTATTTGAGATTATGTTTACAATATTTTTATTCATTAAAGATTTGAAATGAAATTCTAATACTTACCAAACAACATCAGAATTTGAATTCTAGAATTGAAATTATGAATTTCCCAAACAGCATTTGGATTTGAAATTAAGAATTTTGAATTTCTTGTGTTTGCCAAACACCAAAATGGAATTTGAATTATGAAATTTCAAATTATAGAATTGAAATTCAAAAATTGAAATGAATTCCCCTATCCAAACACTACCTTAGCTTTTTCATTGAGACAATCTGGAGTACAACTGATTGCATCCCATTTTGTACACCGTCTTTTACAAAAAATGCTCTATTAAGAGGTGGTCTTTCAGATTCATAATATATATTGTCACTTTATTTGTTCCATTTTATTATTCTTTTTGTAATTGTACTTACTTTGTATAAATAATCATTTTCTAAAAATTCATAAAATTGTATATGGTCTTCTAATTGTATGCAAACTTCATAATATTCTTTTTTAATTATTTCTCTTTCTTCCTTGTTGTACGTTTTTAAAAGTAATTCTCTGTTTTCTTTATTTTCATCTTTTATGTATTCTAATTGTAATTTGGTTTTGTTTAAAATTAATGGTTCTTTTAAAGTGTTTATTGTAAACTCACTATCTTCATATGGATGTGTAAACTTTCCTTTTCTATGAATTCCTTCTATATTGAACTGTGTTTTGTGTTTTGGTATCGGAGCCATTAGGCTTACTCAACCAAGTAAATACATCTAAATTCTTTGAGATCGGAAGTGTGTCACGAAAGTTTTAAGACTCGTAGTGAGGTTGTAAGACGAGCATACGAGTAGAGAAGGAAGTGTATCCGAAGGTCTCAAATAGATTAAGATGAATTTATTTGGAAGTAGTAAATCTAAAGGTTCTAATAACCAGGAAGAACTTATGGAAGATTTAAACATAAGGATAAGTGAGAATAATGAAAATACAAACAGTACAATTTTATCTAAAACACACCCAGGAAAAACTAAAACTAAGTACATAGTTATAATAATGGAAATACAAAAAATAGTAATAAGAATTCGAATTTAGCTGATTTATCTGAACTTGAAATTATACAAATGACAAAAGAAATGGTAATTATAGGAAATATATACAAACAAAGAGTAGGAATTACAGAAAAAGACGCATCAGAAAAAATAGTTCTTGGATTCACTGGAGAACTGAGAACATGGTGGGAGAAACTATTAAGTGACAAAATGAAAGAAAGAATTTTAACTGCGGTAAACACATATGCACAAGGACGGCCATTCCTTCGGTGCACCTTTCAAATAGAGTGTTTTAAAACACTCCCAACTTGTACCAACAATAAACACACACGTGTCTTCTTTTGCCACATCATTTTAATAGACTATTGGTTTTCAATTTTAGTCCAAGGACCTATGTGCAATTCTAAACTCTTTCCTCTCTAACTCTGTTTTCTTTTCATCCCTACGCCGTTTCATCATCATCTCTCTCTCAACTCAATCGCCCATCGCCTTTTCCCCGAAGGAATTGCCGAATCGCCGTCAAATTCTTGTCTCCGGTCCGATCACCTCTAATTTACCTCCATCCGATCTGCATCTGCTTGTCTCCAAAGAGTCTTCTACCTTAATCGTCAATTAGCCCTAATTCTTTTCTCATATTATTCATCTAGAACCGAGTTCGTATACCGTACATCCGGCTGTACCTAAAATTAGGTACAGCCGGCCCACTTAACCATTAAAACGCAAGCCCATTTACAGATCAGGCCCAAACTTTTCATTTGCCTATACCCGCGATTTCCACCTCATCCCCCACCATCAAAATTCAAATTCATTTTCTAGAATCGAAGCGTTTCCTCACTGCGCTCGAAGTTGTCTGCTGCACAACATCACAGCGGAAGAAGATGACCATGCAGAAGGAAAAAATTGCAGAAGCTTCTTCTTCGTTGAGGTATGAGATTTTTACTTCTATTATTGTTAAATATTCTCTCTAAATTCCGAATTTATTAAATCTTAATCCGAAAGATGTCAAACCCTAATTGGAACATTTTTAAAGCAAAATCGTGTTGAGCTCCAAAGCAATTTCATTTGCTATTATACTAATTCTCGCATTGAAGTGTAAGCTACCAAACTCGTACGCACTTATACTCATTCTCATATAGAATGGTACTCGTTTGTATTCTGGAGAGTTGTTAAGTTCATTCTCGTAAGGGCCATAGAAAATGTCACATAACATATCCATTGAAGTAACTGATTTAATTATTTCCATTCTAGTATGTGTCATAACACATTGGCATGTATACTGGTACTCATTTTTATGGGTCCAGTACTTCTGCTTATGGTAGATAGTAAAGTTCATCCATATAGGGGTTGTAATATAATCATTATCCTGTTTGGTAGAACACATTATGATTTATAATCATACTCATTTATACTCGCTGTAATTTGGTGTGCTTTTGATTCAAGTAATGGATTGAATTATGTCCATTGTATGTGTTATCAATGATTCTAATCTATAATGGTCCTCATTTGTAGTCCACACAGTAGGTGCATGTTATGTTTGTTATAGTAAAGTTCATTCATATTGGGATTTGTAATATGATCATTCTAATGTGTTCCAGTGTACATTATGACTTATTCTGGTACTCAATTATACTCTAAATACTGAATATGATCAGTCTCATTCTGTATAGACAACTTAAAGCCCAAGGTTATTATTTTTGTGTGTGGTAGGAATATGATCATTCTCATAACTGCTGGTATTCATTCTGTTACAGAATAGTACTCAGTTATTGAATTATGTAGCTAAAAATCTTATTGAAATGTGCTTTAAAATTATGCAGTAAAAAAGCCATCACGGAAATCCCTGTACTACGTGAAGAACGAAGTGTTTTTACTAAAGTAAATTTGAGGAAAAGGAAAGGGACTGAGAAGGAACCAATGTTTGGGAGAAAAAAGCAACTGAGAAAGAGAAAGAAAGGGATACCGGGAGAAAATGCTGAGCAGGAAAAGAATCAAGCTCAAGAAGATCCAATTTAACAAGAAGATGAAATGCCGAGCATTGAAAAGATTGACCAATTAAACGGTGAGAAGTTTTTGGTAGAAGAAGTTGAGCTCGAAGAAAACACTGATCAAAGGACTTCGAGAGATGAGCTAAACACTGACCAAGAAATTGGTGAAGATGAAGTAAACACTGAACAAGAGTGTAGTGAAGAGGAAGAATGTGCTAGGAAGAAGAAAAGTGTAACAATGGAAAGAAAAGAGAGAGAGAGAGAGAAATAAACAAAGAAAGAGAAAGAAGCGGGTGCTGGGAGAAGAAGGAGAACTGAATAAGATTTGTGTGAAGTCCATAAAGACAAGGATGTCACCGAAAACAATAACTGAACTGTTAAAAAATCTGAGTGAAGAACAAAAGGAGGATGTTAGGGAAATGGGGTTTGGTAGGTTGTTACAGTTGGATATCACGCATCTTCCTCTGCAGTTAGGTTACTGGCTGGTGGAAAATTTTGATACCAGAAGTGTTTCGCAGAAGTTGCCAAGTAAAAAAGAGATTCACATTGATGAGACTTCCATTCATAGCACCATCGAATTTCCAATGGGAGGAGAAAGTGTGATGAAAAAGAATAGAGAGAAATCGGAAGAAGCAAGAGAAGTGATGAGAGCTTGGAAGTTACAATTTCCAGTTCAGAAAGGGACAGTTAGAATAGCAGATGTGAGAAAAAGTGTTGAAGAGAATAAGGGAGGAGGAGAAATGTTCAAAAGGAATTTAATGGTATTGATTGTCAGTTTTCTAATTGAAGGGAAGCAGAATTGTTCAGCAGCACATAAAATTGTGAATGCTTTGGTAAACGTGTCTGAAATAAAAAACCTTAACTGGTGTTCATATACCTTGGAGAGTTTGATAGAGGCAACAGATTATTGGAAAGCCAACAAAAGCAGATTCTTTGGAGTGCCATTGCTGTTTTTAATTGTAAGTTCTAAATTTTATATTTGTTTTCTGAAAATGTTTATATATTTTGTGTGTTGTATTAACACATTTATTTGATGAAATGATGATCAGGTTTTCTATGTTGACAATGTCATTTTCAAAAGCAGAAGAGTTCAAAGGCAGTTCCCCTCTTTCGTTGGGTGGAACGCAAGACTACTGTGGGAACGAGAAAGGGCTGAAAAAAGAGCGGTGGATTTGGTTACGGGTACATCAATGTGCCCAATGTTGAAAAGATTGAACTGACAAGTCCAAATCTCAACAAAGATAGTCAGACAAACCAAAGTGATGGTGGAAATCAAGATGAATTACATGTTCAGAAAGAAAAAATGGTAAGGTTATAGTACTATTCATTTCCTCAAAAATATTAATATGTGACCATGGTAAAAATGTTGTAAAATGCAATTCATTGCAGGATGTTATAAAAGCATTTGCTTCAGCCACAAAGAATTTGGCAGAAGCAATATCTACATTTGATGAGAAGCTTCGAGCAGCTATTCAAGTGTTGCCAGATGATGAAGCAATGAAAATGCTGGTAGAGAGGGTTTATAATCTGCTGGATGGTTATTCAAAAGAGAATGTGCAAGAAGAAGAGAAAGAAAGCACAAGAGAAGGAGAAAAGGAATGGACTTTTAGTCAAGATGATGAATATTGGAAAAGTGAAGAAGTGATGAAGGCTATTGATGCTATAGAAAAAGCACAAAAAAGGCGACAAGAGAGAGCACAGTATGATGGGCCAACCTTTAGGCTACTTTCACAAGAAAGCCAAGAGAGACGTGATAATGAGATGGTTCATGATTGGGGGGTGGCAGCTGTTGATGTGGGAGGTGTGACAGACATGCAAAAAAAAGAGGGATTGGGTGGCAGCAGATGTGGGAGATGGGGGACAAGTGACAGAAGCTATGGAAGCTGTGGGAGATGTAGAACATGCAATAGAACCTACACACACAGAGAATGGAGAGTTGCAGACAGATGTCAAAGGTGGGGGAGATGTGGCAGATGTGGCCAATGTAAAAAAAGTTCCAAGTGAAGACCGGATTCTTGACATGGCAGTGGAGAAAAACAATAGAGAAGTTGAGCAGAATAAAAAAGGCAATCAAGACGAATGTCCAGAAAGAATTGCAGAACGACAAAAGGGTAGAAAGAGAGATGTTTCACTTTCAGCTGCACTAAGGTCGCCATTCATGAATAGAATTGTAGACATAAGGTCTACCTTGACAATTAAAGAGAGAATGGTGGAAGCGTTCACATTTTCAGCAGACAATGATGAGTAAGTTATTTCAATTAATTATGTGCATACTACTATTTTTTGGTGTAGGACTCATTCTGGTATCTCTTAATGTTCATTAATCTTTACAGCAAAACTCATTCTGGTATTTTTTGGTGATGAATTTGAACTCATTCTTGATGACATGGAATACTTATGATTTCTTATTTGTATCAGTAATGTGCTATACAAGGAAGGTGACAGATCAATCAAGAAAGGGCACTTCCAAAGCTTGAAACTGAACTCAGCAGTTTCTTTTGAAATCATAGATTTGTGGACTGATATTCTTAACCACAAAGAGAAGTTCAAAAGCAATGACTCATCAGCCAGAGTGTTCTTCCCAACGAAAATTTGTGTATGTTAAAATAAAATCACAAGCAGTAGAGTAGTTTTCCTAAATAAATATAATGACTTTTTAAGTTCAAATTTGCAGGATGTGTTGGATTACAATGTTGGAAGTTCAGCAACAACACGAAACAAAAACTTTGTGGAAAGTATGGAGAAAATGTGTCCAATGTCAATAAACAGGGTGAGGAGTACAGATATGTTTTTCTTCCCAGCAAAGCTGACAGACCATGTCTACTTAATGTGTTTTGACATGAGAAATATGAAGTTTCTCATAATTGACAGTAAAGAGACTACAATTGCAATAGGTGTAAGATATATATTCCATCCAAACCACTTGGTAAGATTTGTTTAAGAAATGCTCCATTAAAGACTTTTCTTTAAATATTATTTAAATAACATTACTTCCTTTTTTTTATATGTCCATTGTAGAGAAGTGCCTTTGTAAAGTGGATTAAGGAAAAAAAAGATCCAAGAGCAACGAAAGTACAGAAGCTGAAACCAGAGTGCTTAGATGTGGGACTGAATGTAATGAAAAGTCGTACAGACTCAGGAGTGTTTGCTATGAGATTCATGGAGACATATAAAAGGGAAGCAGAATGGGATTGTGGGCTTGAAAACATATGTAACGCCCCGAAACATACCCTAGAATTATTATTAAATAATTATTCGATTAAACAAATTTGTTTTGATTATTATTGGGCTTTGGGCCGATATGAAATATTTTTTAAGTATCCAATATCAAAATCTGGATAAGTCTAATCGAGATAAATCCAATATGTGGACTATTTGTGCGGCCTTGATTGGGAACCTGAGTACAGACCCAAATCAAGAATAAATAAATTAATTAATTATGATGTGAACTTTGTAATGATTTATTGAAATAAATCATGAGAATAATTGATATGAATTAATTGAGAGAACCTTTTATGAGAAAGGTCAATTAAACCAATTTTGACTCTGTTAAAGTCAAACACCCAAAAATATGATGTCGGAAAAAGTATTACAAATAATTATGAAAAGTATATCGTTGGATAGAGCTCGACTGTCTGATCGCAACGGTGCAAACGGATTTCAATTTGGAGAA